GGGCAGCTTAAAGGCCTTAAGCTGTTTGAACATTCTCAGAGAGTTCAGTGATTAAATGAAAGGACTGTGAGAGCCTAAAAAGGCTATCACAGACCCGTTCGTACATAACAGGAAGCTTGACTGGTTATTTGAACAGCCTACTTCTGACTAGACCACTCCTTCTGCCTTCTAGAACCTTGCCTCAAATTTGCAACTGCAAATTGAACACGGGATTATATAAACATATTATGAAACTCTCTAATTTGTTTCACGGGAGCAAGTTGTTTTTCCAAATGAAACTCCAAATTCCACAAAGCCTAATTTCAATCACCCATAGTACCTGTCCCGGTGCTAGACACCTAGCAGGCAAGCCAGCCAGCCAGGACTCATTGTTGAGAAATTAGAGGAATTCAGAAGGAGATATTAAAATAATGATTATCTTTACAAACCAGTAGCAGGAAGCCCTTCCTCCTGCAAATCACATGCTGGTGGGAAATCAAAAACAACCAAGAACATCTCTGATCAAGAAAAAACTGAACTCACATTAAAAATTAGTACACATCAGCACCCTTAGTTTTCTTGGGTTTATATATAAAAGCCTACAGGTGTGGGTGGTTGTTTTTTAAGTCTTTTGGGGTAAGGCAGGATAGCACAAGAGTATCAATAAAATAAGTTACTTTTTAAAAAGAGAGAAAGGAGAAAGGGCAAGAAACAATGAAGGAAAAGTAACAAAGATAGCAAACCAAATTCACAAGAGAGCCATGGGGTTCACCCCAAACTTGGAAGCCTGCAAGAGGCAGCCCTGAGTGAAGCGCAGTGGAGTGCCGCCTTTCTTTTTCCCAGCCTTCGGGGACAATCAGAGAGCTAAACTGAACTACGCATTGGCTAAAGACTGGGTTGGTAAGGGAAGAGCACAGATCAAGGTAAATTAAGCCAGCCCTCTATTCTCTGGCTCTTTTTGAAATTCTTTAGCTAAAAAAAAGACTCCAAATAATAGCATCAGCTAGTAATCTAAAATGTTGTCTGCCTGTCTTGGGCCACCAGCCTGCTTCCTGAGTGCTCTGGGCTGGAGAGTGAGAAAATGGAGACGAGATCAAAGTGTATTTACAATGAGAAAACCTAGATTTTAGAGGCGGCATGACCTCAAGAGACCACATGGCCAGGGGACAAAGACTTCAGACAGATAGGGGTCTTACTCTAGCAATGAGGTCCAAACAGGTTAACCGTCTTGCCTAAAGCCACTTACAAAGACAAAGGAACAGGCTGTCTTCTGCCCCCAACACAAGGCATGTGTGTTTCATAAGGATAAAATCTTCCTATAAGCCAGTGGCTCCAACCCCAAGCGCATACACCTGGAAAGCACAAGGAGCGCTCTGACCTCTCCGATTCTCTACATGCCAAGCCCACCTTAACTCAGAAGGTGACAGTAACCGTCAAGATACCCCCAGCGTAAGGCATTAATGGCAGTGGTGGGCACGGCACGCCAGTCTGATGGGGTAAAATTTTGGCATAGGCTAAATCACGGACAGCGAATCAGGTGAGCCCTAGGGTTGGACCAGGTTAAAGCCCGAGCCCCACCACCTGATAGCTAAAGCTTCTTTTACTGCCCAACCCTCAATCCCTCAACAGCAAAGTGACAACGACGTGGTATACAGATGTTATAAGACTTGCATGAGAGCCATACCAATTTTAGTACATGGCAAGAACTAAATGCTCAGTGATCTCTAACTAAAGTTCATCACACTCTGCATCTCTCTCTAGGCTTTTCATAAATACCTCCTCTTACACAGTCACAGTATCAGGTTCTCATTCTACCCAAGGGAAGTTCTTTCTCCTCCTGTCTTCCCCTCTCAATATTCCACTTACTCTCTCAATAACCTGGGCTTTTATTTCCTTTGTAAAACTTTACCATTGTAGTTCCAACCCCATCTCTAGCACTGCTGGGCTGTGTGGTGTTGGGCAGGTTTCTTAAGCTTTCTGGCACTCAGTTTACTCATATATAAAATGGGAATAATAAAAGTATCGAACCCAGGGCTATCATGAGGATTAAAGTAATGCCCCAAAAGTGCCTATATGTAAAAAACCCCTAGTAACTTTGAGCTATTTCTTAATTTCTCACCATTATGCAATGGATTTTTTTTTTTTTTTTTAATTTGGAGCAGTATCAAATTCCCTCCCCTCCCTGCAGTGAGAGGGAGAAAAAAAAATCATACCCGACAAATAGCCCGGATGAAAATCTAAATATATAAATAGTTGAGAATACTAAAGAAAAGGGGCACTTCTGCAAGGCACATTTTTCCTAATGTTGGGACTACCATGACGATAACAGCCCAAATTACACTCCTCCATCCAGACACCTAACTGCTAACGCTGCAGGGGAGCGGACGCTCCATCATTCTGGGAAAGCGTGGGGAGGTTTCCACAGGGAACGGGTCCTGTTGGATTTATGGCTGAGCCGCACATGACAGCAGCTCAGGGGGGGCAGGCGGGCAGAGAAGGAGGGCGCATCCCTCACCCGCAGCCTCACCTCCTAGCTGGACCCACCCAGACCCGCTGCCTGGGGCTCCGTCCACCGAGGCAGCGACAGCTCAGGGTCGGAGGCGCAAGGACAATGGTACGGCCTTACTGGGTTTTCCTTTCTATGAGCTTTATCTATTTAGTCATATGGAAACGGGTTCTTTAAAGCAATGTGAAGAAGTCCAAGCTAGAATTAAACCCCCCTCACCTGTTCCTAAAAGAGGGTCAGAAACTGGGGAAGGGAGAGGAACCTCGCCTGGGAACAGGGTGAGCGAGAGTAATTATTTCCTGATGGGTAGATGTTCTTATTCCAGTCGATGCAGTGTACCTGGGCTAAGACAGGCGCCGGGCTTTTTACTGTTTTTGTTTGGTTTTGGGCACAAGGTTTTAAATGAAGTTCAGGCTAACCCACCTTATTCTCAGGGGCTCCATAAGACTTACTGCCAATTCTGAGCCTCACTTCTCGTTCAGACCCTACACTGACCGCAATGGCAGGGAATGCAACAGAATCACAGAGAGAAAGGGGTGAAGATACTGCCCGCAGGGCCTGGGACAGGCTGTGCCTGTGAGGCCTGCTACCTTCAGCAGGGATGAAGACACCCGGCTGGCAATCAAACATGCCACGTATGTGATTCTTCTACTTTTACAACCCAACGGTTCCCACGGAGAGTGGGGCGCAGTCGGCAGGGGGAGCTGAGTCCACCCTTCGTGCCTGGGATGTTCCAACAATGAGTCTGGTGGCCTGAGAGGCCCATCCCTGATTCAGCTTCACCAGAGCTTTGATTCTCTGGCCAAGCACATACCGCCTGTTGGCTGCACGGGGAACACAAAGGGAGCGACCAGGCTGGCAAGGGCCTTGCTTGCCGGAGTGGTTACTGGCAGTGGAACATGCACAGAGAAGGCTTAAAAAGAAAGACAGGCTCTGCTTCAGAAAGATAAACATAATCAACTGTCACAGTCTTAACTCTGCTTATCTCGGTGGCCCGTCTAAAGAGAAAACACAAATAAAGCATCTAGACGGGGTAAACAGTGATGGGAGAACAGCTAGAAACGGAAATATAAAATCTGAGTTCTAGCTCCAGTTTTCCCACTGACTTCTTTGGGTGGCCACGTACATATCACGGTCACTCCCTGGGCTCTGGAGGGGATGGCTGCTTTCAGGTTATGTAACTCTGTATGTCTAGGCCTCAGCATCCTTACCAAGAGAAGAAACGTGCTAAGTAAGAGTCTTTACCTGGTGCGGTAGAGAGAAGATTGAGAGGATCTTGGAAAGCACTGCTCAAGTAGAACACAGTCATTTTCCTATGGTTGCAGTCACACACTGAGACCTGTAAATCCCGGGGTCTGGAAAAAGCCCTGGTTCTCCCAGGTTCCTCTGACAAATCGCTCAATTTCTGATGAGTCATCGAGTAAGCCAAGAACCACCTACGCCTAGATGATTACTATCATTTGACTGGTGGTCCCTGAACGTGGGCCTACAATGGACTCCACCTGCAAATAGTCCCAGGTGACTACCTTGCTAGAGTTTGGATGTGGCTTTTCCTGTACATTGCATGACTTTGCCCCTCCTTTCTAACTTTCAATATCCAATAAGATATTGTCCAGAGCCCAGCACAGTACACAGTACATCTCAGTGAAGTTTAGTGATTCCTGTGACTACTTGTAAAGCGAGGGGGATGGATGGGCTCTACGATGATACCCTGCGGCCCTAAGATTGTTTTCATTCTAAATTTTGGTGAGGTGAGAGAGAAGGGGCCCAGGCACGCTGGCTGAGAAATCGAGGCTCAGAAAGCAAAGGCAAGTTTGCCCTGGCATCTCTAAAACAGTGATGTTTACATTTTGTAACCTTGAGCTAGCTTGATTACTGCTAGGCAAGTCAACTGGCATGTTAAAATAATTCTCACAGCACTTGGAAAGCACTGCACAAGTAGAACACAGTCATTTTCCTATGGTTGCAGTCACACACTGAGACCTGTAAATCCCGGGGTCTGGAAAAAGCCCTGGTTCTCCCAGGTTCCCCTGACAAATCGCTCAATTTCTGATGAGTCATCGAGTAAGCCAAGAACCACCTACGCCTAGATGATTACTATCGTTTGACTGCTGGTCCTTGAACGTGGGCCTACAATGGACTCCACCTGCAAATAGTCCCAGGTGACTACCTTGCTAGAGTTTGGACGTGGCTTTTCCTATACATTGCATGACTTTGCCCCTCCTTTCTAACTTTCAGTATCCAATAGGACCTCCACATCCCTGCAAGCCCAACAGGACAAATGACCAAACAAAAACTCTGTGCTCAGGGACCAGAGGATGGAAGTCATTCCCGTGGGAAGTGTTGCCTCCTGGTAAACCCAGCTCATCTTTCCTAGTTTCCCAGAGTTCTGGAGACGGGTGCGGGCCCACCCAGAGCAACACCACTAAATTCTACACACTATTAGAAATTCAAGTGTAGACAGTATCTTCCACTAGACCAAGCTATTAGATATTAATGTACAGACAACACCTACCTCACTCCAGACCAGCATGGTACCGAATATGACCTGTAACCCATCAAAGAAATTGTCCCCTATGATGATCACAGTCGCGCCTCCCGTCGTCCATCCTTCACTCGGGCTGATGGCTTTGATACAGGGAGTAGCTGCTTTTCAACACACATGAAAAAGAGAAGGAGTCTGCTGTTAGAATCAAACTTTAATGATGGGAGACTTGAGAAAAAGAGAAAAAAATCTTTTATCTTTTCACTAACAAAAAGTCCCTCAAGATCCCAGCATTTCCTAGCTGCATTAGCACCTGAAACCTGAGGGTGCAATTTCAGATTTTAAAAGAATCCTTTTCATTCTTTCTACTGAGAAACATATATTTTACCCAAATTGTTTTCAAACCTGAAATCTTATGAAATAAACATAGAAGCAATATTTAATTTATGAAATACTAAAGATTATAAAAAATGAACAATGAATGACTTTTTGGAACACATTGGAAACCTTACAGAATTTTTTTATAATGAAATATAGGGTGCCCTCCCAAAAATGTATACACACACTTTGAATAATTATAAAGGCAGCGTTTATTAAAATACATTTCATTTTCAAAATTGAGCCATCAGCCGTTAAAGTGTGTATACATTTTTTCGGGACACCCTGTATACATCCTGAAAAGAAAGCCCATAGATTTTTAGATAAACATTTCTGTCCAATGAAAAGCAAGAAAGATACGAGGCACAAGCAAAAAATTATTCTTGCTGAATGCCTTCTTTAGGTAACACTAACATAGAACATTCCCTGTTAAAAATCATTAAGGTTTTTTTTCATTAAATGTTATGGATTCCATTTCATAGACACAAAGTATGCAGGTCACTCGGGGTGAATTATGTAACCAAACAGCTGAGTCAGGGCTGAACCACAGAGAGTCCCATGACCTTTGTTTGGTTGTCATTCCCAGGCATAAAACCCTAGGACTGACTTTTTCAGAATTTCATATCTCTCCTTTTTTCATTATAAACGGCCCTTGGAGATGGGAAATCATTTGCAAATACTGTAATTCCAAACAGACTGGAGGTGGTTTGCCTGACGAGCGTGGTGTACTTTCGAGAGAATTGCTGGGCATAAATGTAATTGTAAGATGAGGCTGCTGAACCGTCTCCGAGGGCACCTTCCTCGCACTGAGGGCTTCTAACGCTGCAGCGCCACGCTGCTGCTCTCACATCACTGTCACGAGCACGGCCAGAGCACAGTTCTAAAGTGAGGAGTGTGCCAGGAGAGAAAAGGAGACCCTCCTCTTTAATAAAAAGTTTATTAAGTATCCAAGGCTGACTTTCCAAGTACTGAAGCCAATGTGAGCACCAGTTACTTTTAATGGGACAAAAAACTGGCAAAAATTATTGGACTTTGTCAAATTTGGCAAAATGTCATGCTTTAGCTTTTGCAAGAAGAAAGAAAATATGAAGCCCAGCCCAGTGGGACCATTGCTCACGTGCCACCACACAAACAAGTAGAGTGGGTTTGATTTTGATTCAAATTAATCTTATAAAATTGCACAGAGAAATTAGGAAATATCCAAACTAAACATTTCACGCTGGCTGAACTCACGGTAATGCATTTACAACTCAGACTGGGCAGTTTGGATGCCTTTTCTCTCCTCCACTTTCTCCCAAAAACAAAATAATTAATCAAGAAAATGTAAATGATTCATGACTTGAAAATTCCTGTCCAATTTTTAACACACATAAAGGTTGTGATTAAAGTTCCACCGGCATAGGACTTTTTCTTAAACACAATTTTTCTTTAAAAGTAAAAAAGGTTTACATGCATAATCAAGTTCTCCAAACCAGTGATAAACTATGACGTATGATTTCAAGCAATTTATAAGAGAAATAAACTACAATTCACAACTATGTAAAATTCTTAAAATAAAAGCAGTTTGGAAACATTCTAGTTAATGTCTCAAAATCTTAACTCTTAATTTCGAACTCAGTCTATTTTGTTGCTAGAGTGGGGTAGAAAAGGTCTTGCTGTATCCCTGGTTACTTCTGAGAAGACCAGGATGCTAGTTTAACTGAACTGGTCTTGAAAGAGTCCTTCCTCATGGGAAAGTGTGGAATCCAGTGGTGCTGCTAAATGCTGACCCTGTGATGACCTTCATAAACCATAAAATAGTCTTGGTGTTTCTATCTGGATTAGCTTGGGGATATCTTTTAATTTTTATTTTTTTAAAATCACACAAGTATGTTTCTTTAGATAAATATGGTCTCCTCCAGGCTTTTTCATCACCTCTTGAACCATCCTACCTCCACACTCCCATCACGCACTGTGCTTGCTTAGAGACTAGATGCCATTCTTAGAACAGGTGAGTCATGCAGCCCTTTCCAAGTTTAGGCCTCATGTGGTTCTACAGGGGCTCTTACACATCTGTATGTCCTAGCAGTCTCGAGAGGAAGCTCGATAGTACTTCCCTACTAGGATGTTTGGCAAATATGCAAAGGAATCACGGGCTGCCCCGCCAAGAGAGAGGGGTGGGGACGAGATGTTACTGGGGTTTAGTACCTGGAGGGTAAGGATGCTGAGTATCCAACATGAAGAACTCTAAAATGTCTTTGGTGCAAGGTAGAAAACACTCTGACTACCTACAAAGATCAGGCCCACGAGCAGGTGTTAGGAACTCACAGATCCGTACAGGCCAAGTCAAGAAACAAACAAATAAAGCAGCTCGGGGTCTCAGAACAAGCATGAGAGGGAGGGATGGCTACTGAAACTCAGAACTGGGGAGCAACGGGAAGAGACGGGACGCTGGTGAACTGCATCTAAAGGCGTCACTGCTACCCAGCTCCGGCCATCCGTAACTCCACACAAACAGTG